CCTGACGTTTTGCTATGGCTCTCTCAACTTCCTCATCCAACCAACTTTCGGGTTTGTGTTTTCTTTTCCGGGGTGACTTCTCACGTGCCTTAGCAAGCTCTAGCCCAAACAGTCGAATTAGATTTGTGTACGTCCACACAGTTTTATTATCCTCAGGGATTACTTTCTCAATTTGTTTAGTAGCAATTTCTATTTTCCTTTCTGAATGAAAATTTTCCTGTAGTTGCTCATCTTGTCTCCTTCCCACTTTCGGTGCTCTTCCAAAACTTAGCTTGATACGATTGTGATCACTACCCAGACTTCTGGAGCCATCTTCATGTATGTGCATTCCCCTGAGCTTATCATACATCCTATGTGACATCGGTTATTAATCTATCGTTCACTGCAGCCTTCCTGCCTCCCATGTTATTTGCCCTTCACACTTCTCAATACTGTTGCAAATGATCAAATCATGCCTTTCACACATATGATCATTTTGCTTGTTCAGTCAGTATACCCATCTATATCTTCTATGTGCGCATTCATATCTCCTAGTATAATTATCTCGCACTCTCCTCCTAATTCCTCAATGTCCTTTGATATACACTTCACCATTGCCTGGTTTTCCTCTCTGGCCTTTGCTCCCGTCCACAAGTACACCAAACCGAGGAGTGTCATTTGCCCAGCCGCTTTCTCTTTTAGCCATAAATGTTCCATGCATCCCTGCTTGACTCTTTGCCAACCCACGCTCTTATGTATAAATGCACCAATTCCACCCCCCTTTTTGCTGCCTTCTGTTCTATTGCAATATTCCCATACGTAGTCCGGATTGCAGGGTGGTTGCTCCATGTCCCGAAGATGTGTCTCCACAACCCCATATACCATCAGCTCCTCCTGCCTCAAGTGCTCTTCAATCTCTTACCACTTTAACCTATTCCTGCCACCCTGCATGTTAATATAGCCTACGTCTGACTTAACTCGGCTCTTGTGCTTACGTCGATTTCTTCTCCCACGGACTTCGTGTGGCTTGAATATTTGTGCCCCTTTAGGTCCGTCTTTGGCTACATTGTTGGCCTTAGGGCTCTGGGTCCCCCTAAAAAAGCTGTGGCTTGGTGACCCATTCTTTTACCGACCCTTCTGCCCGTCGCACCACTGTAGTGAATGCTATCCTGTGCAAAGGGGCGAGCGCCGGGCTCGTACACGTCTTGGTTAACTTCCATTACGCTGTATCCGAGTTGCCGGCTCAAACCCTTGATCACACAATTGGCCTCCACCACCCTCCTTTCAATCCCACGAGGCTGCCCCCAGACCTCTGGGACTGTGCATATGGTCACATGCACACTCCCAGAAGTTTCTCGGAGCTTACGCATCCCATACTCTAACTTTCTTTGAAGGTTCTGATCCTTGCCCTTCAACACATCATTGAGCCCAGCATGTTTCGCCCTCCATGCTGTTTTCTACAACCTCCTGAGCTTTGGCCAGTGCATCCACCATGCTCTTTCCTGACTGTGTCGCCACCCTGACTCTCCCATCTTCCTTCACTGTCGTGAAGACGCCATCCCTAACCCTGGCCACGTTAGAGTCCCCAACACTAGGACCCTTCTATGCTCCAATCGCTGGCTTCCTGTTTGTGATGACGCCCCTGTTTGCTTCACCTGTTTCTCTCTCTGCCGTCTGTCCCGTGTTTCTGCCCTGCGTCACCGAGCTGTATGTTCTCGGAGCCTTCGGGCTGTGGCCAGACACTGCGGCTCCCTGACCTCCCGTCTCGCCTGTTCCTTCCTGCCTGTCGCCTTCTCCGCTACCCACGCCTTCCGTCTCACACCGCTCGGGGCTGGGGCAAAGCGGCATTAGCTCCTTTACCCGCTGCTCTAGCTCGGTCCGCCCTTCCCGTTCTTTTCGAAGGTCGCCTTTCATTTGCTCTAATAGGCTGGCGGTAGCCTCCTCTCGCTCACGTGACGCTCCGAGCTGTTTTTGGAGTTCTATCCTCTGCTCCCGTTCCACCCTAAGCTCCCCCTGAAGCCCCTTGATGCTAGCCTCCATGCGCTGCTCAGCCGCCTTCAATCCTAGCCTCCTTAGCCATCACCCGCCCGACCATCGGACCGAGTGCCCGACAGGCCTGCGTTCAACCATAATCCCGCTATCCAGCCGCCTCCGTTAACTCTCGTACCTCAACAACTGTTTGAAGCTGCCGCCTACACCGCACACGTGTTCAATTTCGCTAGTAGCCTTTCACTAGGTCCCCTTCGTGTTCGGCTCTAGCTCTTTAACAACTAACCGGGCGCCCCGACCTTCTTCAAAACAGCCGCCTAGCCAGTTCACGTGGTCAACGCCACTACAACGTTGCCCGTGTCCCACACCTGCAATACTCGTGACGCTAATTATTGATTAGAAGAGAAAAAATTAATAATGGTTACATAAACACAAAGAAATGAAGAGAAACTTATCTCTCGTTGCGCGCTGCTTCTGCACCAACCAACCTTGCACGACCTTGAATCAGCCGAACAGGCGGAGCGCGCGAAAACATGTCCGCACAGCTCAGAAGTAGGATGGATGGATGTGGCTGTACCCTTTAGATCGGGCGGCGGCTAACGCCACCTAGCCGTAATACTTAGTGAACTAACCATTAGATTTATCTTTTTTTTTTCTTTAAATAGTGAGGTTGAGGATTCGTACTTTGCAGTGAAGGGTTCAATTTTCACTCGTGCCTTGACTTTAGCCACCATTCAGATAACCTCCTTCTGGTTAAGTCTACCCGCTTAAGGTCTATTTTGCCCTCCCTGTCCCTTAACCCCAGTGCTTTGAAAAACTCTGCGCCATCATCCTGAACTATAGGGACGATCGCAGCGACAGAGTCCCCTCTGCTGGGCATGCGCTCTCCTCTCATTCCTTCCCCGTGATCGACGTAAACAAATCAGTAACATATGTTTTCGCGTTTGGTGCATGGTTCATATTTATTTACTTTCAATATTACTGAAATAAACTTGTAACAATGTTTCGTGTGGTAACATGGGCAAACATTCCCGTTTTCTTTTCCTTGAACTCCTCAGCCCTCCGATAGGTGGCGCCACCATACCCGCTGGGGAACGTAAACCGCGTAAATGCTATCCCGCTAAGGCGTTGTGCGTAACAAACGTTTGCTGCACGGTAACGCCATCCCCTTAACCTCCGCTATCACGCTAGCGGTAAACTAATATACTTTAGAGCATATTCTTTTCTTGAGTACTTTCGAGATTGCGGCCGATCACGCAACTTTTGTGAGTCTCAGTGCGTCGTCGCCCGTGCTTTCTGTTGACATGTACTTGCAAGTTTACTCCACGTGAGCTCACTGTCATTAATTGCCATGAAAAGCGATACCGCGGTGAAGTCTACTTCGTGTCTCGCGAGCTGCACTGTCGTGGTAATGCCAGCACCCTTGCGGTCGTGCATAGAGGGAAGCTTTTTTTTTTTTTTTTCTCCTCTTGATGGAATCTGTGCTAACTCTGTGCTTCGCTCTGGGTCGGCGCAGCTACTATGCTGCGCTTGTGCCAGCGGACTGCTACGCGGCTGCGGCTGCTCACGAGCGTAAAGTGTGCAAAGTTCAAGGAAATCGTTGCGACCGGACGACGATTGCGTCGCAGCAGTCTGTCGCTCTCACACCGTCCTGTTTGGATTTTGTACACGCGTTCACAACTCGAAGGAATGCATTTCCAGTTTGGCCTATGTGAACGCGTGTTCATAGGCATACACGCGTTCGCAACTGATAGCAATAAAATTAAAATATATACACACTCGTAAAATGTCAGTAAAATGCACACTGGACCATCGATATGTTTCTCCTATTCACATTTTGCGTGTTATAATTTTGTAAACGCGTTATCGATGCGAGCGAGCAAAACCGAAAGCAACCGCAAAGCTATTGTACTACTTGCGGAGCAACACGGACAGTAAATTTTTGAACAGCGTAGGCAAAGCTTTGCGCACGCGTCCGCTGCGCATACGTCATAAACCTAACCGCCGTTAGCGTTTGCGGTCCACCCGCAGAAAATCCAAAATATAGGGCGGGTTACAAAACTCCTTTACGGTGATCTCTAGGAGATCGCGGGCTGCGGGAGACAAACGCTATTGGAAAACTCGCCAATTGACGGAAGCGCCGCCGCCTTAGAAGCCTTTCGCTCCCAGATCGGTGGAGCCCTTTACCGGTTCTTGTTGGTGACGGACAAAATTGAATGCCGTTTGCAAGCGTTGCGGGTGCCATATGAGTTTAAAATAGCGTTTGCCCTGCTACAAACCGCAACGCACGATCGCAGCGACACCGTAGCCTCGAAACCAGCGCTTGCGGGCCACATGCGGGCTGAGATCGCCGCACGCAATTTCGGATTTCCTGCGTGCGGTCCGCGAACGCGAATGCCGACTCGCGTTACGACGCATGCGCAGTAGCAGTGACCGCACCGCAACGGCTCGCGGTATGCTATTATAAAACTCCCTATTTTACGGATAGCGTGCGCAAAGCACAGGCTTTCGTGCAAGGTTGCCTCAATCCTTACACAACCGATTTTGGTTGTCACAGGACTCGGTACAGTCGCTTGCATGGTCGAGTGATACGCGACTTAGTCATCATGTGACAATTGTATGGGACGCGTCTGTAGGCTGAATTGGTAATCAACAACTAACTTGCGTTCCTTCCTGCTTGTAACTCGTCGACCCTGTGACCTGTTTCCCGTAGAGGTGGTGATGCGGGCTAGTCCGTTAATACCCATTTTGTTTGGGCAAGAAAAAAATAAAGCGCGGACGCAGGAGGGGGCACGGTAGTTGTTTCTCGTGAATTTCTCTCCGAGGCTCCTCGTGATTTTAAAGAAGCGCAGCTAGGTGAGAGTAGCTTGCTGCATTCTTGTGGACGAGTGCCGCCGCTTGCATGTGCGAGCTTGTTATCGCTGCGCAGCGTCGCAGCCCATGGTAGCGCCCGCCGCCTCTGTAGAGGATTCCCCGTGACGGCTCTAGAGGTGGTGGATGGTAATCGTGAGCCGCCGCTTTGTTCCTCGCAGCCACCGGCGGGACGATGAAGAGCGGCCGTCGTCGTCATCTCATCACCGGCGGCGCAGTCGTCGCAGCCGCCGGGAGCACCGCGGCGGACCGGCGCACCACTGCTCGCGGGTGAGTGCTTTCGGGGAGAGCGGCTATTTCGGGCCCGGGGTCCGAGCGCCAGTTGTGGGGGGCTTTTGCGTCGTTGGGCAAATGGTGGTAGGACGCACCTCCTCCGGCGCCGCTGGTGCTGCGGGCATGTCGGCTGCCGCTCAGGTGAGGGCCTGCCGCCCGCCGAACCGGTCGCGCTGTGGGGCTGGGGACACCGCGTGGGAGGGCTCTGCCCGGGGCTGCTGGCGAGGCTGGCGCGTAGTCGCCGCACCTCGGCCGAAGAGGAGCTAGTGGATGTAAATGTTTCGCATGCTGAATTGGGGGGGGGGGGGGGGGGGAGCACACAATTTAGTGTCTGTGTGTGTGTGTGTTTGACGGGGCTGACGGAAGGCCCCCTGGTGCCTCCTCTCTGTTGTTGTCTTCTTCATGCGCGTGACTTGCGCCCCCCTCCTTCCTGACCGATGGGTGATGACCGGCGGCGACGATATGCGGTCCCGGTTGGCTGTTGCTGCTGCTGGTGGTGCTGTTGCTGGCGTGATGGTGGTGGCGGATGCAGTCGCCGGTGCGGAGGCCCCCGAGCGTGGAGGACGATGAAGAGGGCCATCTGGTGTACCGGCCGGGAGACGTGCTACAGGACAGATGTATTGGTCCTCCCTTATCTTATCATGGGGGCCACTCCTACTAGGGGGGGCAGGGGGGCGGGGATTACATCAAACTTGAAGATCTCGAGTTGGTGGACACTGACCGGGGCCCCCCGTGGGCTTTTTCCCATGCCTCTTGCAGACAAAATCATCACCACTCTAGGCGAGGGCACCTTTGGAAAAGTGGTCAAGGTGACTGACTTACACACGTGAGTAGTCTTGTTCATTAATTTTTTTATAGTAAGGTGGCCTCTGTGTACATTGTGCTTAAAGGCCCTATTATTTTCGGCATAATTGTGCGTTCTGTGGTGCAGCCACTAGTAGCACTCAGCTTGCATGCATTGGAGGCCAAGCCAGCGTTGTTTTTGACCTGTTGGCTGAGGGCAGTAGGTGGGCTAAAAATGGCACACCTCTTCAGTCTTGGTGGTTGAGCTCTGGCAGCACAGGCATCTCTTGGCAGGAGGCTGTCACTAACCGCGTGACGTTTGTAAAGGTGTAAGGGGATTGCTCCAAAAAAAGATGGGATGGCTTTTTTGACACACGCGTATCTATTTGCACTGCATCACATCAGTGTGTTGTCGATTCAAATATTTCACCAACCTGTTAAACGCTAGAGAGTCTTTTCATTTTGTTATGTTCTTTGCCATTTTGTTAGTTTTTTTTTCAATATGAAGTGAATGTGCGAGGGTGTACAGAAGGCAGTCTCATAGGAAAGTGCATATAACATTTCTATGCTTGGTCATCTGCAGTGCAAGCAGAGACTGAGCCACAGTCAGTGCCGCAGTTTGCTATTCTGTTAACGTAGTACTGAAAATCACTACGGAGCCTTGTTAGTACCAAAAATTGTGACCTGTCTCGTGCTTTTTTCTTTGTCCCCTTCTTCATTTCCGCTTTTTTCCTGAACACATACACCTATGGGCCAGGGTGGGATGCAATACCTCTGATGGGCGAACAGTGGTGGGAAATCTGCGCCAACTCGAAATTACTGCGCCAAAAGATGGTTTTGGAAGCGAAAGTAGTGTTGACAGCACACATCGTGAGCAGATATTACATGATGGTTGCCATCTTGTACATGTGTGCTGCTGCATTTGCGTACAGTTGCGCTGCTGCAAAAGCACGAAATCGGCCGACCAGTTACTCCGGCTTTCGCGCGATTACGGCGGTTTTTTCTGATAACTATTGGCAAAGAACAAAGGCGATGTGGCGACTACCAAAAGGCACTCCAGCATGGTCGTTAGCAGAATTCTCTCTTGGGGCCGGTGCAAACTAGTGTTGAATTATGGCTGGGGGAGGAGGAGAGCACTGGTGCAACTTAGGTGAGGAAAAGTTCTGTTGTGGCTGGACGGAAGCAAGTGCCCTGCACCCCGCTGCTGATGCCAATGCGCGCCAGTATGACCGACTGCTGACGAAATGCATACATGTGTGGCGAAGCGCTACTGCACGCTTTTATAGCTGCCAACTACCTAAGAGCGTTGACGCGGCGATCGCCGCCTTCTCTGTTGTTGTGTGGGACTTTGGTCAGGATGCACTGCTTTGCAGAAGCGAAAGCAGCTCATTCTTGTGGAACTGAGTTTTGTAGGCACTGAGACAGCAAGCGTAGCACACGCTTTCATGAGGCAGCAGCCCAAACGCGCCTTCATCTGCAGCAAGGACTGCTAGGGCATCGCTTGCAGAAAGCCGATTGTTTTCTCACCGCATGTGTACACGGTCAGAAGTGGAGTGGGCGCAAGTGGCTCGGCCTGGTGTGTACGCCAAGTAGGCGAAGCGCTGCACACAACGAGCCAGTAGACGATCGGCTCTGTGCGACCGTACTGCGTCTCAAAAACACTGTGTTTGTGCTAAGCAACAGATTGTGGTACTCATCTTTAGCGGAAAGTCTCTTATGTGCGCTTGGTCACCAGGTCAGTCGCTGTATTGGCTGCGTATCCCAGACCTCGCAGTAGTTTCGAAATGCTCTCCATGGGACGATCGTGCAAGAATGCCTGTAATTTTTGAACATTGGTAAAAAGAAAGAAATAGGTTCACGGTGGGCAGTTTAGGTAATATTTGCCGTGGCACTATATTTATTCCTACTTTAGTGGTGATGGCGCACGTAAGAAATTCAAATTGGTGCTTTGTCATAGATGTGTGCGATGGGTAGGAGGCACTAAAGTCAGCCCCATACATTGACATGATAAGGGAGGAGGGTGCTGCTACGAACCCCCTCTCCAAAAGGGAACCCTGCGCACGCCTGCCTATGTACCTGGTGGTTGATGCATACTACATTTAGTGCGTAGTTAGCCGTGTTCCCATCAGGTTCTTGGTATGTTTGTACGTATTGATGAAATTTTTACTGTAACAAGCTTTGAATGTGCCTGCGGGGTCATGTGTGTGAGTGTGTGTGCGCACTGCTATGAACTTCGTGCTGCAGCTAGCTTGTTGGTTCAATATCCTCTACTATTCTGTCGTCGCTTCTGTACATATATCAGAAAGAAAAAACTTCAGTCGAAGCTTTTCCCGATGCGAGGACAGCAGTTCCCACCCAAGCTAAATATTCATTTGAGTGCAGCTCTCCCCTCTCTTGTACCGTCCCAAGATGAACCTGGCTGCTCGATTTTGAATTTTTTCATTTTCATCAATACTCTGACCTGCGAAAGATCCGGTCCTGCACAAGCATAGTCTAGTGTAGGTCGAACACATGTTAAGGGGAGACGCGTCTTTGGGATTGCGAAAAATGACAAATAAATCGATTTTTTTGAACATCAAGTTTTCAGTTTCTGGAACCCCTTTTCTATCTGATTCCAAAATATCTACACTGAAAACCGCGCAGAAGTGCTTCGGAAAATTCATTTCAGCCACCTAGGTAGTGAAACTTTTTCTGGAAATCGCGAGAAAACAGCGATTTTCGAAAAATAGCTTCGCGATAGCGGGGCCGTGGGTGGGCTTCTTGGGCTCATCGAAAGAGCATTTCTCCGTGTTTGACTTTCCTGCCTCAGTTGGCTTCTCCCTTTAAAAACAATCACACAAAAAGCAAATGTTTGAAGGTCATTTTGAGCCCTTGATTGGCTCTGGCCGCCATGTTGCCTCAGCTCGCCTCGTCATTGGCCCGATGCTCGCGCTGGAAGATTGTCGTATGCTGACTTGTGCGTCGCGAGGACATGGCTCTCGAAAATCGCTACTTCGTGACGTGCTCATGGCTCTATGATCACTTGGATATAATTACGCTTTAGTTATGAGCAGTAAGCGGATGCGCGATCAGGTTACTACGAGCGCAGCACGTCATCAAAGTCCTCTTTAGCGAGACAGCCGGCAGGAACGACGCTGTAAGCGGCGGCACGGTGAGATTACTACGAGTGACCGCTGTGGGGTCTCGGCGAGGCGAACGTGCGCCTCGCCAAGCCACGCTCTTGGAGTGAACGGACACAGTTGACGCGGTCGGTACAAAGCACCCAACATACATACATTTATTAACTAATTTCGACGACGATATCGTCCGCTGAATGATACATCAATTTTGATTACCCGCTACCATACAAACAACATAATGCAGTGACACACTAAACACACAATAACATGATAAACACACACAACACACTAATGCATACCCAAGGGGGCGTCGCCAACGCCTGACTTTCCACGTGGGACCCCGGTGCGAAGCCCGCGGTGCCGAGCACCGGGGGCCCACGCTACAGACAACCGTTCGCGGCAGCCGCCACGCGCAGAAGAGGCTCGCTCAACTCTCGGCCACCACCAAGGCCCGCCTTCCGCCAGGGGCCACCGCCGGCGCTACCACTCTACCAACAGTGGTACTCAAAGCGAACACAACGCCATCTATCGCCCGGCGGTGGTCACCACCAAAATAAAGCCTTGGGGCAAGATACGTGCGCCACGCGGCGCAGACAACTTTACAGGGGGGGGGGGGGGGGGGTCAGCACCCCCACATTCCCCCAACCTTACATCAAATCATATCCCGAAATCAAAAATTAGCTACACAAGCTTTAACAAAAAAATGATATCGCACGACCATAATGTCCTTGCACCACGACACCGCCGCTGGTAGACACTGCTGCACTGTCCGGCTAGACTTCACTTCAGTACCGGCCCCGCAACAGCAACGTTGCTGTCGGCGCGACGATCCGTCGCTAGCGCCGACACGTCTTCCAGTTGCGACCAACACTCGCGAGGGCGCCGGACTGCAGGCAGTTGCGCAGGTCCCAGGCATCTCCATCGCCCGACCTCACGACCGCATTCCTGGCCAGCGACGCTGACGATGTGCAGGACAGCCGGCCGTGGATGACATCCCTCCCGCCGAATACATCAATAACAACAAAAAAACTTGAAAGAAAACAATCGAGCAGGCCCTTAAGAACGGAGCTTCGAGCTTTTCGTCCACGTGGTACGTTGGTCAGTACTGCTAGCTAATACATCAGTGGCGGCCGAAACGCCCATCAAAATAAAACAAAAATCACTTTTCCTAGTTCGTGCTCACAAGAAAAAAAAAAGTGAGGGAAGCAGAGTGCGACACCTTACCGCCACGATCCACCTAGTTGTGCCACGTGCGACAGGCGGCTGCGCAGAGCCTTAGGCCTAATGAGTCGCTCGGCAACAACCGGCATCCAACCAGCACCCAGCCTAGGCGCAGAAGAGGCAACCGCGAGGAGACGTCCACTCTGTGAGGTGGCCCTATCGCTCGCCGCACACAGCAGCTTACCGAGCAATCGGCGTCCACCGCCCCGGGGCGGTGTCACGACGCCTCGGCGTCGAGCCGCAATACCAGACAGCAACGTTACCCGGCTCCCTGAGCCCAAAGATATAGAAGAAGCTATTTACAGAAAATCGGACCACCCACAAGGCTTCCGTACTCACTCGCTTCGGGCCTGGCCTACAAACCACGTGCTCTAGGCCTTGCTCATCCCAGGATGCGGACCGCATGGCTCTCGTCCTAATTCAACAACATTTTTGAAAACTAACAACAACAAAAAATAACAACACTTGCGAGAAAAAAAAATAGAAAGTCAACCTGCCGACAAATTCAAACACGTAACAAAACCAATCTCCTCGCTCTCAACAAAGCACACCACCGACGCTAGCAAAGAAGTCCCCCCTAGGCCTACTCTACTCCGGCTCTAACAAAATCCCTGTATTGAACCGCAAAAACTGTCGTCCGATACTCCAAGAGCCCCACGTTGGGCGCCAGTGTGGAGTTTCGGCGAGGCGAACGTGTGCCTCG